CCCCTTAATAAGGCCCCTTTAAGGACAGTTACTGGGAGGGGGAATGACCAAAAGGTTACCTAATATTGGATTTCCCCAGGATAATCCCAATATAACCTTATATAGTATAGTAGTTTCCATGTTGTTTTCCAGTATCTCTATGAGTAACCTCAATATGTGAGCTATTTGCGTGTGGATGTTGCCCAGACAACATGCTGGGAGTCGATGTCCAAGCCTTTTGCCCACCTGCCAGGAAATTTTGCGACATACCTTCTGCAAAAGCTGGGTTGTGGCCGCCCGAGAGATGCGTTGTTTGGCGCTTTCTTCCCATGGCTTGTTTGGTGTTCAAAGTTGCAGGCCTTAGCTCACCGTATGTTGGCAAGAAGTCCAGGAGACGTAATACCAAGCCAAAATCACAGAAGATGGAATTGTAAACGCAGAAGCTTCATGATGTGGGATTGCTCGACACCACGGGTGCCTTTGGCTTTCCATGGCCCGTGGTAGAGGTTCCAGTTGCTCCAGGTTGTACATGAGAATTGCAAGTTCCCCAAAGTCCCATATGAACAACCGATGAGTAGGGTAGATTCCAAGCGGATCCAAAAGGACCCTAGACAGGAATTTTAACTAAGACAACTCAAAGTTTCGAAGAAGGTTCGGCCTATCTAGGAATCTAGGGTCTTTGAAAATCTTACTAGACGAAAGCAGTGGTCAGCCTAACATGTTAAATCTAAAGTAAGAAGTTACCTCGCTGAATTTTCAGCGTTGTATGTGGAGCCAGGGAACTGGGGAACAGCAGTCCCTTCAAACAAAGTCAGCGTCCCTTAAACTGTATCTAGTGCCAGTAAGACGTAGGCTGACCCAAGCCCTTCCATTCAGGAGCACTTGTTCTAAAGCCGAGGCATCTAGTGACCTCTACAGGTCGTGGGCAGTAGAGTTGCGGTTGGGAAGGTTTTCAGGCTGGCGGGCCTTGTGCGAGATACATGCGAGCATGGCCCAAGTAGCTTGAGCCAGATGGGCAGCGTAAGCCAGATTGGCTAGCTAGCTACAGTAGCGGTGGCTGGGTAGGCCCCTGGGATATTTAATATTTTCCCTAATGGCTTTAATAGGGGACCCTATATATTAATGTTTTTCAAAGGGTTTTAGGAGCCAACCCAGGTGGTCACCCCAAAGGCCAAAGTCATTGCGCCGGTGGAAGATGTGGGAAGTTGTTGTTTCCAAGTAAGAGCACCACTGGTATCGAAGTTGGGCCTACAACGTGTTCTAGACATACGCGTAGCAATAACAGTGTTGTTAGAGGAGCCTTTCTGCTATCAAGTGCATTGTGTCGTTGAGACAACAGTCTTCTCCCGATTTACCAGGTAAACACTTCAACCTAAAAATGGTACTAGCTACCACGCACAGTAAGGAAACGGTTCATCATTATAGCATAAAACCCGGTTCTTAGTGTTCTACAGAAACTAAGGTCCAAGTCGACAAGAGCACGCTGCCACGCTGCACGCCGTCTCAGATATTAAGTTTCAGTTTTCACCGTGAAGCATAGGGTCCCGCATCCACACCACTTAGCATTTCACAGGCGCCGTTAGCATTTGCGGGCATGTAACGGAAGTACTTCACTTCAGCCCTGTCGAAATTGAGCTCCTCTAGGGTTCAGAGTCAAAAGAATTTCAAGTGTCGTCCAGCATGGAGTATTCGATGCTCTCACAATTACGGAGTGGGTACCTCACCTTGGCTCATGCTGAGTAAGGGCAGTCGTTTGCAGCGCACATGGTGTCGCAGAGAAGCATAAGCCAGCTCAATTTGACATATGGGTATTTCCAGAAGTGGAGGTCTCCCTTATGTAACCCTCGAATAATGTGAACCTCAACATAGGGACCTGCCAAAGGTACATTCCCTACATCTGCATGGATGCAGGAGCGAAGCCGCTTCCTCTACAAATGTGAGAGCAGCTCCCTCCCTCTCACAGTCCCCAAATCTCCTACCTGTAGTAGCAGTTTTCTTTTGAAAAGGGTCCTAAAAAGAACTGTTCCAGGATGGGGCAGTATGAACTGTATATATATACATATATATATATATATATTGTTTGATCCTCTATGCTTCTGGTTGGGCATCCCGGAAGAAATCAGGATGCCCCATTTCCTTCTGCTGACTATTTGGCCCCCACGCCCTAAAGGGCCATGCAAGTGGCAAAAACTAACGCATCCCCGCATATCCCTAGAATGCCTTATGTATCCCTACCTAACTTACATATAGACCCCCTTAAGTAGATAGAATATAGCTTTGGCTATGTTATATAATAAGATCCCCACATACCCTATATTCTTTCTACTTAGGGGGCACATAACCTGTCGAAACGCAATGTAGTTGAAAGATTTGTCCCCTGTCAAGCTTTTTGCTTGTTCAAAGGGCTCCAAGCTCTGGGGATGTGTCAGCGGACGTGGGGGCCCCAGACGGGGCTCAGGGAACAGGATTTAAAGTGTTTGGGGTTTTAGGGTTTAGGGTTTAGGGCTGGTCAAGAGTTTGGGGGTGCGGGCTGGTGTAGGGTGCAGGGATAGAAGCACATGCCCTAAGCCTTTTCAGACTGCATATTGGCTTGGAATCCTCTAACCAAGGCTGGGAGACTTCCGGTGTCCACATCCACTTTTAGCTGCGTAGGAATTTCCAGTTGCCAGCTGGACTTGA